CACCAAGTTGTTAAGGTGTTACTTAACGGAAGTTCAAGACAACCAGTTCTCGTAGCAGGGAACAACTCCACAGAATCAGCCCCTAATCAACTTTATGAACCCAAGGGCATATTTGTCGACAGTAATTTTAACCTATATGTTGCTGATTATGGAAACAATAGAATCCAACGTTTCCAACCAGGACAAACCAATGGAACAACAATGACAGGAAATCGAACTTCAAACAATATAACATTAAATAAACCTACAGATGTCATACTTGATGCTGATGGTTATTTATACATTGCTGATAGTAAAAATCATCGTATTATTCGATCAATCAATGATACATATCAATGCATAGTTGGTTGCAAGAGTAAACAAGGGTCTACAAATGAAGACTTGATTAAGCCATATTCTATTCATTTCGACAGTTATGGCAATTTATTTGTTGCTGATGGATACAATAGTCGGATACAAAAGTTTACTTTAATAGAAAATAACTGTGGTATGTCTAATAAAAAAGCTGCATATGAAAAGAAAAAATATGTTATGGAACCAATATTAGTTTGATGTAACAATTTGAAACGTTATGCAAATTATTCGAAGTCATATTTCTAATAGAATATTTGTTTATCAAATTCAGAGACTTTTTTTTTTCAAAAAATTTAAATTATTAAAAGCGAATAGATTTGATATTTCATAATTTTGTTTGTGAATTTATTTGATGGTTGTTTTCTTTTTCAAATATAGACACTTCAATAACAACAATAACTTCAACACTCAAATACCCAACAAGTAGTATATCAATTACCACTCAACAAGGTTAGTATCTCGAATAGAACATTATATTTCTTTATTTTATAAACATAATTTAATCATCAAAAAAGAAAGAAACAATTGTTAGACAAACACATGTATCATTTAATTGTGATTTAAAAATACAAATATTTAGCTTTCGAATAATGAATTGATTAATTACGAATGATTCTACTAGAAAAAGTTTATGGTTTGAAATAATTCTAGCTTAGCAAACTAAATTATCATTAACTTTATAATACAACGAACTAATAAGTCGAAATTTTTTGAACAAAATAAAATTGACTTTGAATGAAATTAGTTACACTAACAGATTCAGAAAAAGAAAATGTAATGATATGTCTTTTGGAATTGATTTATTAACATTTTTCAGAAATCTTTCTTTATACTTTCTTATTTCCATTCGTAAAGACGTTCAATTTTCTAGAGAAACCTTTCCTTTTTCCTTTGATATATTTGAAACAAAATTTATAACTACTTTAGATTGTATTTTTATCTATCAAAATTTAGTCAAAACTTTATTTTTATATCTTTCAAAGATTCTATAATAACTTTTAAACAATGAGTCCAACAAGAATTCTAAGCATAAATTCTGAACAGAAAACAAAATTCTAATTCTAATTTATTGTTCTAAAGTTTCTGCTAACTGACTTAATTAATCGAAAAATGAAGAAAGATTTTGTCCCAAAACTTTTGGCTCATTCATTATTTTCTTTCTCGATATTTCTTTAGATTTTTGTTTTTGTTAAAAAGAAAACATTTATTATTTGCATAGATATCCCAGGTTTCTTTTTTCATTATTTGAAAGATAGTTTCTGCAAGTTTTATATTCTAATATGATAAAATGATTAACATTGTAGATCAGTTAACATTTATTATTTTAACATCAATAATAGATTTATTTATTAATAATATTTTAAAATAATTTAGTTGAAACAACACAATTACAAAAAACATCAATATTGACGACTACTATGGGTAAGATCGATGAATATATTATTTTTTTTTTATTGAAATAAAATTAACTTTTATTTCAATCAGAAATTTCAACCAGTTCAATTAATTTTACTGAATTTTTAAAGCTAAATGATACATTAAGTGTTGGAACCAGCTCTTATAATACTAGTAAGTGATTATTAAACTAATAAACTTATTATCAAAATATTTAAATATATTTTTTCAATAATTTACATTTCTAAGTATTTATTTTAGCTATAGGAGTTATACTATTTTCTTCTGTCAATTGAATCTTTTTGTTAGTGTTCAAATATGTTCAAAAAAGAGAAAACACTACGACATGAACAAAAATGTTTCATAATTTTCAAAGTAATATACAATACAAAATGTTGATCCACAGTTTTCTTTGATAGGCAAATGGTGAAAGAAAAATTTTGTTACCAAAATATAGAGATTTTTTTTCCTGTTTTAAACAATATTTAGTTTATTTTTAATATACATTCGTAAATGAAATGAGACAAGAAAGAATGGGAAAGCCTTACACAATAAATTTGCAATTTTCTTTTTATGAACTCATCAATAAAATCTTCTAGATAGTAATTGATTATAATTAACTGATACCTATATGATAGTCTTAAAACGTTCGTAAAAGTGTAAATAAATGCTGTCTTATAAAAGCTTTTTTATGAGTATAAAAAAATCAAATTATCCTTGTCATCTGCTAAGATATTGTGTAAGACTTTCTCGTTCTTTCTTGTCTCATTTCATTTACGAATGTATATTAAAAATAAATAAAATACTGTTTAAAAGAGGAGAGAAAAATCTCTAGATTTTGGTAATAAAATTTTTCTTTCACCATTCGCCTATCAAAGAAAAATACAGGTCAACACTTTATGCCATTTAACTTGTATCGTATGTTATTTTTTGAATTTTTCATAGAAATCTGTTGTCGTAATCAGAGATAGGAAAATCAAGTCATTTTTTGACTTGACTTGACCTTTAAAGACAAGTCACAAGTTAAGTAAAAAAAATGAACATATTTTTCCAATTGATGTGTCTAATTCTTCTCTATACTAAAACTACCGATGAGTAAAGAAACAAAGAAAAAGAAATTCTTTCAAGTACTTAAGATAAGCGATGGACAGATGAAAATATATAATCATTTTTTGAATTGACTTGGAAAGCGCTTCAGTGACGTATTCAGGATTTTTCAGTATGTTGAATCTCGACTTTCGAGTGTGGGACCCATATGAAACTCATGAAGGGTGATGTTGGGTCTAAATGATGGAATTTTATCAAAAAAAATTAGCATTTTCCTGATCCTCCCTCCTAGGATTTTTTGCTGTTAGTAGTATCTTGATTTTGAGAATTTCATAGGAAGTCATACCGAATTTTATCGACAGATTTAAAATTTTGTCTAAAAATGTGCAACCGTTCAAGAGTTATGATGTTTTGAAATTTCGAAAAAATTCTTTCCACATGTGACAAAAATTCAAAAAGTTATAACTCTTGAACGGTTATATATTTTTAGACGAAATTTAAAGTTCAATATAGCTTCCTATGAAATTCTAAAAATCAAGATACTACTAACAGCAAAAAATCCTAGGAGGGGCGAATCAGGAAAATGCTAATTTTTTTCACAAACTCCGAGTGCAAATTTTTTTTGATAAAATTCCATCATTTAGACCCAACATCACCCTTCATGAGTTTCATATGGGTCCCACACTCGGAAGTCGAGATTCAACATACTGAAAAATCCTGGATACGTCACTGAAGTGCTGTGACTTGACGTGAACCATAGAAAACATCTGACTTACCCATCTCTGGTCGTAATGATATTAAATTATATTGCTTAATTTGAAATACAAACTGTGCAAATTTTATATAAAAATACTAGATGAATCGTTTTAAAAGAGTAGTTTAGAACATTTGAAATATTTTTTTTGAATGTGTTAACTTATTAATTGAACTATAAGCAAGTAAAATAAGTTTATTGAATAACAATATTTTATAATAATTTAGTTGTTTTTTTTTTGAATTATTAAATTATATCCGTAATTTTTATATAATTTTCACGAATATTTACGAAATAACTATTTAGTTGCAACAACAAAATCAGAACAAACATCAACATTAACTACGAACATAAGTATATAGAATTGATAAATGTTTTCTATTTATTTAATTTCTATAATTAATTTATGTTTCAAGATGAAATTGAATCTACAACTATTTCAACAACAATTGAAACTTCAAGCATACAAATTAGTTTTAATCAGACTGGTAAGTTATCATCGAAATTTCGAAGTTCTTGAATTTATTACTAAAAGTTTTACACAATGATTTTCAAAATGGTATAAAAAAACTTTTGAGAAAAGAAAACTTTTTTTTTTCTATTCGAAATAAGATAATTAAATACAGGAGGCAGTTAAAAATAACATATTCTATAATGAAGTGAATATAATTACATTGCTTTTCATATAAACTATGAATTTTTTCGAATAGAAAATGATACATGTAAATTTGTATTTATATAATAATTTAATTGAAAACAAAAAAAAACAGAATCGCATTTCGAAATGTAATAAATATTATTCAAATCTAATATAGTTTGTATGTTTAAGAAATTTTCCAAATCGATATATAAAATATAAATAGTATATTTTTATTGATGTATTAATGAAATATTCTAACTTTAATCATAGTTATTTATTTTACTCAAATTAAAATTATTTCATTAAAGTTAATGTTTATTCTTGTGATCATAAGATTAATTTTGTTTTATACTTATAAATTCTTCTTAGAATTAAATTCTATGTTATAATCAATGAATCTAATTTCAAAAATCAATAAAAAAATAATTGATTAATTATAAAATAATGTAGAAAAATGTATGTGCTACATTTTCTCCAAAACTACATAAAATATCAATCGATATTATATAAGAATCTTTGTCATTTATTCAGACAAAATATTTACTGAAATTTTCTATTAGATAAATAAATCGATCAAGTCATTAACTAGGATCAATTCAGAGATAATAATATCAAAACATTTTGCTTTAAACACAAGATTTTCAACAAATAGTAAATGTTGTAAACATTTTTGATAATAGAAATAAAGTCTTACAATATTATTAGTAGATAGATTTGTTACCATAGTTAAAATCCTGTATAAATCCCAATATGAGATTATCTATAAATTCACAATCAGAATTTTTTTACATGCATCCATAGGAAACAACAGAAGAACATAATAAAAATAAACAAATAATATTGACATAAAGAGATTTATTGAAATAATTTTAAAAAAAACATACAAAAATTTTATTTATATAAAGATGAATTATCTATCAGTATATAAAAAGGTATTCATTAAGTATCTTCAAAAAGAAAATATAGAAATATCTCTATTATGATTTAATTAAATAGGCTTATATTTTTCTACTAAAGATAGAAAAATGTTAATTCATAGGAAGATAATTAGTGAGAATTTTTCCTAAGCATCAATAATAATCTCAATAAGAAAATTCCACTTTTTTTTACAGATAGGAAAATAAAGTAATACATTTACCATAGATTCTCATTAATCGTCTTTGTATGAATTTAAATTGTTAAAATGTCTCTATCCTTGGTAAATAAATAAGTCAATTTGGTCGAAGCCTAATGGAAATATTCAAAGTTTTCTTTCTAAAGTTACTTAGTAGAGATCCAATATATAATTTATATTTTCTATTTTAATAACATTCAGAATTTTCTCTTAATATTATATTAATCATGATAAAAATAATATGATACATATACAAACCATGAAGAAAGTTTGAGTTTATCATCTCTTTTCTCATTAGATTTTATTCTTATAAATTATGTCGAGATTTATATACCAGAAATTATTTAAATTTATCTTTGTATGAAAACTATCATCTTAAATAAGTTCCTTTTACTATGAATATATTTAAATATGATAACTTTTTCAAGTCATACTTAATAATTTAATATTTTTATGAAAGTAAAATATAATAAAAAAAAAACGTTGAAGGATTCAAGAATAGACTTCAGAACATAAACTATATATACATTTTAAAGTCTTGTTTTATTTCTTTCTTCTTATTTAAAATAGTTTGTTTATAGATTTCTTGATATTCTTGAACAAAATCTCTTTTTTTTCCAGAGATTTCCAAAGATACTTTATATCATTTTAAATTCGAATCTAATCTATGTACACAGTTAAAAATAAGGTTTATTATTTTAATATTATTTTTACTCATTCATTTCGGTAATGACTAAGAAAACATATTTGTATTTTTGAAAAAGTCAAGAATTATTGAAAAAAACCTTTCATAATAAATTCTTTAGTTAGGATTGTCATATATTATATTTAAAACTAAGTTTGAAAAAATAGTTTTCTTATGTTTTTATTGGATTACGTTGCTAATATCAATTTTTCATTGATACTTTTAAATCAAAACAAATCGAAGATTGTTTTTTATTGAATATATATTGCTAGTAAGTAGAAATATAATATTGTATTCTATAGAACTATTTTATCTGATAAACAGATACATTTTAATGTTCTTATGAAGTCAGATAGATAACAAGTTTTAATATCATATCATCGAATAATGGAAACAATTTCACTCTATACAATTGATAATTAAAAATAATGAATTTCATGCTATGATAATTCAGCTTATCTCATAAAATAGTCAAAAAAAATAGTAGGCTCTTGAACAAGTAGTCTATCCAAGGGAAGAAAAAGAATGAAATTTCGATATTACCTACTATTAAAAAAAAAAGAAAGGTGTTAGCTTAATCCTATTCGAGATTTTAAAAAAAAAGTGAAATATGAGGTACCTTTTATTATCAATGTTCGAAACGCTGTTGTTTTTTTTATACATACTGATGTACATTTCATAATAATTTATCTTAGATTATAGACTTTTAAAAGGATGATACTCCATATATACTTCATTCATATGTTAGATATGCATTATCTCTGATATTTCCTTGAAGTCTTCTATCATAGTCTATAATGATTCATGAGTTCTGTCTGTCACAGGCTGTGGCAGGGAAATCCAAATTTCTATCCCTAAACACTTCAACACTCCTTTCTGATCGTTTTTTACAATACAAGATAATTGTATATATATATAAACGCATTTTTATTAAGATCTTTTTTTTTGTCATCAGACTATTTGCTTTTAGTGTCATATAAATGATAATTTAAACTTTTCTATACTTTCAGATACAACAATTAAAGATACGAATGATATATCTAGTGCTTTAATCAATGATATAACTAGTAAGTTTATTTTTTTCTTCTGTATCATAAAAGAAATTCGTTTTTTCCTTAATAGATTTGATTGTAACATCAACGAGTTCGTTTAATTATGTTTTATTATTTATTTCAATTGTTATGTAATCTTTAGATAAACCATCCCCGTCATACATTGTACCATGTCCTTGTCCGAATACAACAAATATTGGTGTTAATTGTAATATATCTAGTACTTTATGTGATGTACTCAAACCTTGTCAAAACAATGGAACATGTATAAATATTCAATCAAATATTCCTAGTTATTCTTGTTCATGTCCTTTTGGTTTCACTGGTATTCATTGTGAATTTGATCATCGACCTTGTAAACCAAATACTTGTCTTTATCATGGTATATACATATACTATTGAATAAATACTAAAAAAACAAATGATAAATATCTAATTTTATTTTAGGTATATGTAATAACACATCAAATTTAACATTTAATTGCATATGTAATCAAGGTTGGCAAGGAATTAATTGTGAATCAATGATAAATTTCTGTGATAATATTACATGTTGGAATAATGGTGTTTGTCGACCATTATTATTACATTATAAATGTGAATGTCTCGGTGATAGTTATTCAGGTCGTCATTGTGAAATAACTTCATTAAAAATTAAGATTTATAAAATTGTTTCAAAATCATTTTCTTACGTTGCAATAATTGCAATATCATGCGTTGTTATGTTTGTTATCATAATGGATATATTAAAATATTGTTTTGGTATTGATCCAACACGTGAAGATTTAGAAAGATATTGACAAGAAAAACGAACAAAAAAACGAAAATCTATAATTCAACAAGATACTTATGTCAATACTTCATCATCTTAATAAATGAGTTCATCTAATGTTTATATAATTATTAAAGACAAATATGACTTAAAAAATGAATGGGTACAAGTAATACCTTTCAAAATTATTTTATTCGATTTATCTTCAAGTTTTTTCTGCTAAAATCAATACTAGAAATAATCAAAAGATGGATTTGCGTAATAAAGCCTCTTATGAATTAGAATATTTTAACTTATAACAATAATTAGCCTTCTGAGAAAAGACATTTCTTTTCCTTCATGTCGTTCATATCTGCTTGCGTTGTTGTTATAAATAAATCAAAAAGATTTGTGATTGAGAATTCTAATAGATAGGTGTGGATGTGGGTGTGAGTATACTAGTAATAGAAGAAGCGATACGAATCCACAACCACACCCTCAAGTAAGATCAAAGTGTGGGTCATTGCTTGCCTGACTCACCACTGTAAAGGTGACATTCTACCATGTGGGTATATTTAGTTTGATTTCGTCTGATAGATTTACATTTGTTAGGATTATATTATTACTCTATGATCTTCGTTATCATTCAGTGAGTAATGAAAAAAAGGCACTTATCTCGTCTGATGAGGAGGGTCCAAATGAGGATGGTAGTTCGCTTGAGTCGTGTTCTTCTTGAACAAGTACCGAAACATGTTTTGTTTTCCTGTGAAATGATTCTTTTTTTACGAATACACCCAGCCCACAGCCCCAGATCATCACGAAAAGAAAAAAAATAAGAGTAAAAACGGGGAGTGGACAAGAGCAAACACCTCTTGTCAGTAGCAATGCAAGTGGTGGAAGGGCGTTTCTGACCCCTTTTTTCGCCGATTCTACCTTATATTTATCTTAAATATAATCTCTTTCAATTTGATATGGTATTACATTTATTTATAAGTAAATATTAATTGTCACCATCAGTGGCACGTGGGATTCATCGTAACACTTCGATGTGAGTCATAGGAGATAACAAATGCAGAGGAAAGAAAAGATGAGTGGCCACTTAACAGCTTTTTCCAACTTAGCCTTCTTGAAGATAAGTTTTTTTTCATTTTCTCTAAAGTGTGTTTAACAATATATTCTGTAAAATGAATGTTTCAATACGCTCGGAAAGGTTTCCTGGGTGTGGCAGCTCTTGTAATCGTTGTGAGTAGTGCTGCTCAAGATGTAAAAAGTACTACTTCTGCTTTCTGCATTGATCTGCTTGGTATTTGCGATAAACGATTACAATCTTGTCTACGAATGTTCACACAGTTGGTACTATTTTGAAAACATTTCGATAAAAATTCTGAGCATCAACTGTACTCAAGAAGATAATGGAAAAATGTTTCGACGGTATAATTTGCGTATAGCTTCGGGCTATTTAGTTTTCGTAACATGTTGCTTTGCTTGGAAAACCAAAAACCAATTCTGGTTATTTGACGAATGTGTTGTGGTGGTGTGGGTGCCGTTGTGGCTTTGACTATAGTTGTGCGGTGTGGCTCTTTTTTATGCTGTTCCCACGCCACAACCGCAGCCACACCCAGCCACACCCACACCACACCCACACCACACCCACACCGACACCCACACCCACACCCACATCCACACCCCACACCCACACCCACCACACCCCACACCCACACCCACACCCACACCCACACCCACACACTCACACCACACCCACACCCACACCCACACCCACACCCACCCACACCCCCCCCCCACACCCCCACCCACCCCCACACCCCCCACCCACTCGGCCCTCCAGCTT